CGAATCAGATACATCACGGAAATTCACGAAAAGCAAATCAGATTCTAATTGGTACAAAAATGTTTTTTCTATATTTTTTAAGTCAGTCACTTGAAAATGAGGTTTTTCTAATAAGGATCCGCGATGATTTAGTTTAAAGTGACGAATCATTAAAAAGGTAAACATTTCTTCCAAACAAATAGGACAGGTGCACATTTTGGATAAACATATTTTTTCGTGTTCAACTACTTCAGACGATTGAAGAAATTGTGTACAGCCATCAAACTTGTTAATGCAATCGAAAAAAATTCTTGAAGCAATTTGGTTGTACATGGAATCTACGCCATTGTCTTCTTCTTCATTGTTGCACTTTGAACATCTACCACATTTTATTCTTCTGTTTGGATATACTTTGACTGGTGTTACTGATAAAGATTTATGACAATAATCACAAACGTTATCAAAGACAATAATGTTTTGAATTTGACTCATCTGAAAGAAAAATAAAGTTTTAGGGTGAGTTTACAGAACGTCTGCAACTTTGCATCTGCAACTTTGCAAATATGGCGGACTTACAAATGTAAGTATTTCAAAAAATATCTGCAAATTCCCAATATTTATTGTGGTTTATTACCCCCAACAACACTAAACCCAAATTTGGAATACGAAAACTTGATACTTGCATGTGTAAGTCAGTCATATTTGCAGATTTTCAAAGTTGCCGCCATATTTGCAGATCTGCAAAGTTGCAGACGTTCTGTAATCTCACCATTAAGCAACAGTAAATAGGCAGATTATTAGAGATGGTGGAAACTTTTACTCTACCTATTTTTACATCACTGCACTGCAATAAAAATTATTTTCAATTTTTTTTTTCTTAAAAAACTGCCTGTTTTCTTTTTTAATAATTGTTAATTTTTAATTAAAACAAGAAAATTTGATAGTTAAAATAAAGGTGTTGAAGTATTTTGCTTCTAAACAAAAATCTGATAAGTAATTATTTGCATATTTTGCAATGTAATTTAACTGATTTTGAATCAATGGTTTGCACAAATTAACCGGTGTTTTCGGCTAGTTTACAAACTATCCACAGTAATCAACTAGTCGGTTAGTATCTAAACCGACCAAACTTCTGTGGTTAATTTAGTTCAGAATAGTAATATATTAGTTAAAAATAATGTTCATTTATTGGTACAATATAACATTACTATTACCATTAAAAAATAAGTAAAAAAAGCAAGTGACAAAAATAATAAATTCATTATAATCAAGTGTTGTTTATTGATTTTGAATTTTGTGACTTTTGCTTATAAACTTCCAAAAGTAGGTTTTCAAATTGCCATACTGCCAATTCCATAAATAAATTAATAAATTTTATTAATTTATCTATGATGTGGATTTTCAAACGCGGCAAAAGAAGAAATAACACAGGATCAGCGTCAGAAGTAAGAAAGAGGCCATGTATTATTGTAAAACGTAGATAAATAATTTATATTCTAAAAAAAAATTCACACCAACTAATCTACAGTTACATTCTCATTAGTCATTCGAAAATTCCTTCTGAAAATTCCAACACAAAACATGGTCAAAATACCAAAAACAAAACTACTTGCAAAAAAACCTATGCGCAAATATATCAATTCTGAAACAGTTCTCGCTTTGGGCCAGAACTAGGGTTGCCACAAGTCCTCAGCTTATTTTTATATAATCAGGTCCTTTTTTTGTGACCATTTCTAAAAAAAAAATGTCCTCCGCATAATTTTCGTACAAACGAGAGTCTTTTGCCCAGTCTATTTTTGTATAAATCCGATTCCTTTGCCGCTTTTAAAAAGCGTGGAATTTGCATAAAAAGCGTGCAGGCAAGTCAAAAAGCGTAGCAGCACGCCTAAAGCGTGACTTCTAGCAACCCTAGCCAGAACCGAATTTATTATTCGAGAATGGTTATGGACCTTGGGACTATTCTTAAGAAAAACCAAAACACAAAACTTACATGTTCGGAACAGCGAATATGTACTGCGCATGATCCAGAGGTTCTGGAGCAGATACGAAAGTGAACCAAACAAAAGCTTTGTTCGGCTTACCAATTTTATAACGTTTCAGAACGATTCAGGAGTGCGTGAAATTAGTTACGCACTAAACTACACACGAAACAGTCAATCCTAGAGTGTCCTAGGACTAGATTTGGAGAAACCCAAACACGTAAATTTAAATGCGCATGATTATAACGATTTTAAACCGTCCTCAAAAGTATAGAGAAAGTAAAAGTTGAAAAGTCTTTTGGTAGGTAGAGAGGGGGTAAACGTCAAACCACGTTGGGCGGCTCCGAGAATTTCACATAATGTTTACCTACCAGTGTCATTTCATAGAATAAATAATTTTAAATTGTTATCGGCGGAACCGGACAATCGAATGTATTTATGGATTATAAATAAATATTAAACATGTATTATAATATTCAAATTATAATTTTACAAAATTTCAACAGCTATTCACAATTTATTAAACTATTTACTCGAAATTGTTATTAACATCTATTAAATAATTTTGTACGCCAATGTATCGCGTCCACTTCGGTGAGATCCGCTGCTAACCTGTCAATTTATGTGTATAAAGTGGGAGAACTGGCAAAAGCACTTCCAACTTTTACTTCTGTTCTAATACCTTTAAATATACATTAAGAGATTATAAGATATTATATGGTTTAAAGTGCTGTATTTTATGTTTTAGATATAGATATTTTTTTGTGTAATTTTCTTTAATTGTAATGTGCTATTAGTTTTGCTAAATAAAGGAATAACTTTTCAAAGTTGTACAACATATTGAAATTATATGTTTCATACCTCTGAAAAGAGAGTGGTCATTTACATATATCTGTTGTAAAAATTGTTTAGTTCTATATTAATATTATTCGACTATAAATTTGGAAACAACACAAAAAAAGTTTTTTTTTAAATACATAACATCATGTCTTGAAGTAAAATTAAAATACTTAACTAATTCTTTTTTTTTCCGAAATAGTCAAATGTAATTTTATTTTAAAACACATATGGGCCAGAACGGTTCTGTTCAGTGAGCATTTGGAACGGCAATAAAGCAGCGCGCATGTGATCTGCTTTTCCTAGCTTTTTATTTACAAATAGGTGAGCAATCTGTATATAACTTTCATATCATTGATAAAAATGATAAAATTTTAGGTTAGAACCATCAAAATCTTTCAACTTTCGATCAATTTTTGTTTTAAATACACTAAATAGAATCAGAGACAACAACAGAATGGTGAATATACTTTTTAGTGTTACAAATTGCGAGCTTTCAAATCTATTTTTTGACTTACCTTAGATCATAGTAAAAACGTTTAAATCATGAATAGTAGACGGTAAAATAGCTCATTCGCAATTTACAAGACAACCTAGTTCTGCCAGTTAGAGATAACTTGCTTCTTGTAGGAATAAATGTAATAAAATACTCCCTCTTTGCTTATAAAAATAAAATTATAAATCGCAATCGGAAAACAACAAATAACCAGTGTTGCCACGTCCAAATCGTCCAATATTTTCATTTCCCTAAATAATTTCTCAATAATTGTGAGATTGGATTTTTTAACCAGAAACTTTGTCCATTAGCCGATCCATTTTTTTTGTTATTTTTTATTAAGACTGAGAAATATGTTAATAATATTTATAATTTGTTGTCTGCGTTTATAAGTTGGTATATAACGATTTATAAACTAAGCTATAGGCAACACAGTATACACAGACGTGATACTAGTTGTCTATCAATCTGCGTAATATCCCACCTTATTTTTATTGTATCATTGCCGCGTTTGAGAATCCACATCGGATGCATCTGAGATGTAAAAAATCTTTGATCACGTGATTCAGTATACGTAAATGTAATGGGACAGATGTGTCCGATGTGGATAAAAAAACGCTCGAGATGTAAAAAATACATCCGATGTGGATTCTCAAACGCAGCACATGTACATATGTTTACTGCAGTAGCGTAGCCAAAAAATTTAAAAGAGGGTTGCGATTTGAAATTAAGAAACAATGCATATATTTTTATAAGCTTGCAATTACTTTAATATCTGTAAGTGCTTTTTAATTATATACTTTCTGATCACCAACTGGGTATGTCCCCAAAAATCCCCAGTGGCTACGCTCCTGATTTACTGGGAAGTCAAAATCGATATAGGTAGTAAAGGTTCTTTTAATAAAAATAAAATATACATAATATATCAAATGCTTTAATTATAACTAATTATTCAAATTAAACATATTCATAAGTTTACATATTTAAAAAAATAAAAAAATACTACATATCATAATCTTTATAAACGCAGTAAAAATAACAATAAACAGCGAAAATATTTAAAAGAAACTAGGGAAAATCGTTATACAAAATATTTTCCTTAATATGTATCAAACATTAAAATACCCATTTTCGTAGATACGGTAATATTGATATTCCAAATTGAGCACCATGTATATATTTTTGAATATATTTGCCAAGTGGCACACTAAACCAAAAAGCAATAAAACTAATAAAGAAAATATAGAATACTAAATGCCAGAAACGTTAAACAAACAAAACATTTTGAAATGCGATATAATGAACATAAATTAGAAACAAAGGAAATGAAATACTGCATAGAGAAAAACGGAAGAAATGCCACAAGATCCATAAATAAATAACATATAGAAAAAGGATTTGGGAAATTTATGATTTAATTGATTCAACGATTTAACTAATCAACAATTAAAAAAAAAATAAGGGAAAACAAGCAGTTTATGATTGTGCAAAACTATTTAGGGCTTTCTACTTGAAAAAAAAAAAAATAAATTTTTGGGCTATATATGAAAAGGGGCATGTTAATTTTCGGTATCGTCGGAATTATGTTGTATTAAAAAACAAAAAAAAATACAAACCCGTTGAGTGCAAACTACTTCTCGATATTCACAATCAATTTCGATGAGGTACATAATATTAAGCATTTAAAATGGGTCAAAAATATAATTAGGTCATTCAATATTTGTAGTTTTTAGTAACTTGTTACAACGTAAATGTACATACATGGAATCATAGTGTGGAATTGAACCACTTTCAATTATTGTGGTTATTTCTTTCTTATCCAAACCATATATTCCAGCTTTTATTTCTATACCTGGTATTTCACAAGTGAAACTGATTGTCCAATTTGGTTGTTCCCATTTAAATTTAACAAAAACGCATACACACCACATGAACATAATATGCTCTAGGACAGATTTAGAAGTATTTAAATTTAGACGAATCAATGACTCATTGAAATTATATGAATTGATTGATTGGCAAATTACTAATGAATGTTCCTTTGCAACATGCTGTTCAATTGCGTATAATTTTAAATAATGAAAACATGATTGAACGGGACATTTTTGGTAAATTTGTTTGTTACAATTTCTTTCATGTTTATACAACTCGTTATAAACACAAAGTGTTCCACAACCCCAGACACAAAAAAATTTTAATTTGTCTAATTCATCTCTTGTAAAACCTTCTTCTTTAACTTTATTTTCGGTGTCAAGATAATTATTACATCTAAAACATTTCATATAATAATTATTATCATTATTTTCAATCAAATATGTATAATATGGTGCTTTTATTTGATTGTAAGAAAAATAAATTAATGGGCAATCATAACAAGCTAGTGTAATGGTGAATTTTTTTCCTGATTTTGCAAATGAGATTGTCGTTTTGTCAGTAATTACTAAATCTGTAACAGGCTTTTTAAATGTTTCACTTACGCAAATATCACGCTTTTGAAACAAAAGTGTTTTCAAATTTTCTCCCATTTTGTTATGAACTATTTTTGGATCAGAATTATTTTGAGGTAATGATTTTAAATTATTATTTTCTTTTTCTTCAGATTTATTTATTTGGTGTTGCTTTACATTGATGAGGGCAATTTTTGACTCAGCATTATTTAAATGAAACATTATCAGCAACTTAGACTCATGTGTAATATTTAAAGTTATATTATATGTAACAGATGTACTCCCACTTGTGTCAATAGTTTTATCTAAAATGTAAGTATTTTTTTCAAAGAAATCTACTTTGAAATTTTTAATGTTATCGTTTTTACCCAAATATAATAAAAAGTTTAATGAAAACTGTCTCAAATCATCCGCAGACGAATCAGATACATCACGGAAATTCACGAAAAGCAAATCAGATTCTAATTGGTACAATAATGTTTTTTCTATATTTTTTAAATCAGTCACTTGAAAATGAGGTTTTTCTAATAAGGATCCGCGATGATTTATTTTAAAGTGACGAATCATTAAAAAGGTAAACATTTCTTCCAAACAAATCGGACAGGTACACATTTTGGATAAACATATTTTTTCGTGTTCAACTACTTCACACGATTGAAGAAATTGTGTACAGCCATCAAACTTGTTAATGCAATCGAAAAAAATTCTTGAAGCAATTTGGTTGTACATGGAATCTACGCCATTGTCTTCTTCTTCATTGTTGCACTTTGAACATCTACCACATTTTATTCTTCTGTTTGGATATACTTTGACTGGTGTTACTGATAAAGATTTATGACAATAATCACAAACGTTATCAAAGACAATAATGTTTTGAATTTGACTCATCTGGAAGAAAAATAAAGTTTTAGGGTGAGATTACAGAACGTCTGCAACTTTGTATCTGCAACTTTGCAAATATGGCGGACTTACAAATGTAAGTATTTCAAAAAATATCTGCAAATTCCCAATATTTATTGTGGTTTATTACCCCCAACAATACTAAACCCAAATTTGGAATACGAAATACTTGCATGTGTAAGTCAGTCATATTTGCAGATTTTCAAAGTTGCCGCCATATTTGCAGATCTGCAAAGTTGCAGACGTTCTGTAATCTCACCATTAAGCAACAGTAAATAGGCAGATTATTAGAGATGGTGGAAACTTTTACTCTACCTATTTTTACATCACTGCACTGCAATAATAATTATTTTCAATTTTTTTTTTCTTAAAAAACTGCCTGTTTTCTTTTTTAATATTTGTTAATTTTTAATTAAAACAAGAAAATTTGATAGTTAAAATAAAGGTGTTGAAGTATTTTGCTTCTAAACAAAAATCTGATAAGTAATTATTTGCATATTTTGCAATGTAATTTAACTGATTTTGAATCAATGGTTTGCACAAATTAACCGGTGTTTTCGGCTAGTTTACAAACTATCCACAGTAATCAACTAGTCGGTTAGTATCTAAACCGACCAAACTTCTGTGGTTAATTTAGTTCAGAATAGTAAAATATTAGTTAAAAATAGTGTTCATTTATTGGTACAACATAACATTACTATTACCATTAAAAAATAAGTAAAAAAAGCAAGTGACAAAAATAATAAATTCATTATAATCAAGTGTTGTTTATTGATTTTGAATTTTGTGACTTTTGCTTATATAATATATTTCCAAAAGTAGGTTTTCAAATTGCCATACTGCCAATTCCATAGATAAATTAATAAATTTTATTAATTTATCTATGATGTGGATTTTCAAAGTAAGAAAAAGGCAATGTATTATTGAAACGTAGATAAATAATTTATACTCTATTGGGCCAGAACTAGGGTTGCCACAGGTCCTCAGCTTATTTTTATATAATCAGATCCTTTTTTTGTGACCATTTCTAAAAAAATATGACCTCCGCTTAATTTTCGTACAAACGAGTCTTTTGCCCAGTCTATTTTTGTATAAATCCGATTCCTCTGCGGCTTTTAAAAAGCGTGGCTGCACGCCTAAAGCGTGACGTCTAGCAACCCTAGCCAGAACCGAATTTATTGTTCGAGAATGGTTATGGACCTTGGAACTATTCTTAAGAAAAACCAAAACACAAAACTTACATGTTCGGAACAGCGAATATGTAGTGCATATGATCCAAACCAAAGGTTCCGGAACAGTTACGAAAGTGAACCAAACAAAAGCTTTGTTCGGCTTACCAATTTTATAACGTTTCAGAACGATTCAGAACTGCGTGAAATTAGTTGCGCACTAAATTACACACGAAACAGTCAATCCTAGAGTGTCCTAGGCAGGGTTGCCAATCTGTGAGTAATTCCTCACATTTGTGAGTAATTTACTAGTATGTGAGTAATTTTGTGAGTAAAGGGCAATTGTAAGTAATATGTGAGTAATCGGGAAGTCAGCGTGGGGATATTCATGGTAGTTAGGCAAAATCCTGATCGGATAATTTATTAAAACCGTGTTCTTTTTAAAAATTTTAATATAAGCCTTATTCTACCCCCCTAGCACTTTTAGCAGTCATTACAATTATTTTATAGTTTTAAAATTGCAACGTCCTCTATTGCTTGGTCAATGTAATACAGTAAAAATAATTTTGATATTTTACAACACTAGGTGTCGTTTCGATAGTGATAGTCTCATTGGAACTGTCCCAACCGTCGATTAATATCTTTTTTTTTTGTTCATTTTAAAAGTATATTTTTCTACACCCGTATTATAATAATGCACTTATATGCCCATAATCCGTTTCATAATGATACCCATTATGATACAGATTTTTCATTATGATACAGATTTTTAATCAATAGAAACCTACAATTTTTCAATCAAGCATGATGTTTGACGTTTGTCCTAAATTCCTATGTAATTGTTTTAGTTGTCAAAACGTATTAAATTTTCGTAGATAGCTAAACTTCGATAATTATAATATTAAAATGTCTGATATCAGCGATATAGAAGACTCCTCCACACATATCGGAGAAAGGAGAAAATACAGTACAAAATATTTTGCCCCAAAAATCTGTGGTAATACCAATACTCAAGGTAATACCATTAATTACAATTTTGTAGAATTTTTTATAGAAATACGAGTAATTACTGTTATTGTGTTCAATGCCAATATAAATAGAATATTTATAGGTCTTGATTATTTATCGGGTGTAGAAAAAATAGCGTATGCAACTCTCATGTAATGGTTATTAAAACACTCGCATAAACCATACGAAACTCGCCTTTGGCTCGTTTCGTATCCCGGTTAATGCTCGTGTATTAATAACCATCATTACATGATCGTTGCATAATATACTAATTTTTTATTAGTAAATTTTTTTTAAGAATTAGAATTAATGATTTATTATGATTTGGTCCTTTAATAAAGAAGCTACTCTGATTCTCCAATCCTTTTTATCTGTGTTTTATGTTCAGCTGATGACAAAGATGTTTTATATACAGGGTGATTCATAACTATTGGGACATAGGCTAAGGGCAGGTTATTTGTATCAAAATATGGCGATATTGCCAAATATACCTTAATAAAATATTGCTGTGGAGTAAGATACAGGGCGTTAAATAATAATAATAATAATAATAATAATAATAGTAATAATAATAAACTATAATCTACTGCAAAGCAAACTTTTCATAAATGAAATAGGTATTTTGTGAGTTGTTCAATTGCGTTTTTCTCGAAAACGGGTGAAATTTTCTAATCAAAAATACTAAAAAGTTTCGTAAAAAAAGTTACCACTTAATTTCATCATCAGGATTCATTTACGTGGCGCCTCCTGTAACAAAATATGAAATAATACATAAAATATTATTCCTTGTCGAAAAATATGCCTTTGTGCCAATTTTGATATCAATTCATAAATATACAGTGACATCAGAAAAAAAATTCCAAAGCAATATTTTATTAAGGTATATTTGGTCCTATCGCCATATTTTTGTCCAAATAACCTGCCTTAGCCTATGTCCCAATAGTTATGAATCAACCTGTATATTACTTTGTTATTAAAATAGTGAATGCACAGAAAAAAGGTGCATCTGTATATTCTGAAAATTTATCCTTTAATGTTTGGCAACATTGCACAGTAGTAAAATAAATTCAAACCAAAGTGCAAGAGTACAAAATATAAGATTTATATTAAAAAAAACTAGTAATATAAATATTTTGAAGTTGTGAGTAATTGTGAGTAATCCGGAAAAGTTTTTGAGAGTAAATCGGTAAAGACCGGTTGGCAACCCTGGTCCTAGGACTAGATTTGGAGAAACCCGAACACGTTAATTTAAATGCGCATGATTATAACAATTTTAAACCGTCCTCAAAAATAAGCGGAACAAAGCTAAAGTTAATGAATGGGAAATATTGACCGGGACTGGCTGTTCGATCATTAATATCCATTATTATTGATTAATAAAGTTTATTTTTGTATAGTGAATTTCTATTACCCCTTAGCTAAATTTATTTGCATAAATGTCCTAATGCAAAAACTATTCTTTTAAAAGTCACTATCAGTTATTTTACTTACCATTTTAGTAAACACTTGCGTAATGATGCACAATGGTAAAATAACTCACAGATTTATAGGACAAAACGCTAGAGACAACGTGCTTTGCTTGCAATTAGTGATGGTCAGAATTCTACGCCTTACAATTGCTTGGCTTTTAGCTTGTAATCTTGTAAATCCAAATAAAATGGCGACGCAGAAGATAATCTGGCTCGGAAACAGTGTTGCCACGTTAGGATAACAATTTAGTTCAACTTATATTGAATTTTTTAATGTATGTTCCAGATTACAGACATAATTTGAACAAGCTTCTTGTAGTTTTCCCACTTCAAACACAAGATTTGACGTTTTACCGAGGAATTACCCGAAGTGAACGCGATACATTTTGGCATAGAAAATTAGTTTAAATTAATAAATTATAGCTGTGGAAATTTTGTAGAATTATGAATTGGAATATATAATTATTTTTAGCGCATAAATATATACCTACGGTTGTCCGATTTCGTAACACTTATTTTTATTCTGCGATACGACACTGGCGAACAAATACCGCGAAATTTCCGAAGTCGTCATACTTACGGGATTAACGTTTAAAACCTCTCCACCTACCAAATCAAATGTTTTTTAATGTTTGTCCTTTATCCCGGCTTTATTATGACAAAAATGGATAATACTGTTAAAATAGATGATCTGGCAGCATCGCACGAAAATCACCACTCCCAAGTACCTAGATTTAGATACCATCTAGACTCTCTATTAAACACTATAATGGTTTACTATTACATGTCCCATCTTTAGAAGTATTTATACTGAATTAAAAATAAACTAGTAACGTACAGATGGCGCACTATTCATTTTTGCCGGCCATTTTTTATCCAAAATAAAAAAGACTAGCCATATTCGATCATGATCGAATAAATATAGGTACAATGATATAATTAATAGATTATGATGTCGAGTTTGTCGAATTTTTAAAAGAAAAAACTGCAAAATTATTGAAAAAAAGCGATTGACACATTCTTTTAATTTTAATCCTTTTTATACGATTTTCTCAAAATGATAATGAAAAATCTGCAATCAATTTTACAATAAACTCAAACCAACAGACATTCAAAAAAGATGCTTACATTTTCTGCATAATATGGGTAAAACATTTGGCCAACGTTTGATTTTTCTATTACCATCTTTTTTATCTACTGTGTTTTGAAGTGGTAATAATTATATATAGTTTGCTAAAGAAATGTCTACCAAACTACCAACGCTAAAATGAAAATTTTTGTCCTTTTGACTTAAAAAATGCTAAAAAAAGTAATCTAATGGCAACACGCATGCATGCGGTTTGATATTTTTGTCATTTTTTTTAATTTCGTTTTATTTGTCCCTAAGGAGCCCCGTGACGCTGTAAAAAAACTGCCAAGTACGTAGGGACCGCCGTGACGTCATAAACTTTTTCTCCAGCGGTTTCTAGGAACCGCCTTGGCGTTTAACGTGTTTAAAAAAGGTTTTGCTTTTGCTTACCTATAATGTATATATTTTTTATTTTGTAATGTACAATTTCTATGTAATTTTTGTTTTTTTTTTATGTATTTTTCAAAAATAAACATCTCATTAATCGACTTTTTTTTTCCTAATTTAAAAATTATAATATCAAAATGTTTGCTTTATAAAAGTTTACGATAATTGGAAATCTTACAACCACCATTACAGCAATATGTAATGTTGGTTGCCTATAATTAGAAAAGACATCTATTGGTGAATAGTTACAAATAAAAAAGGAAACTACTGTTTTACCTACTTGCCAATAAATGGATTTTGTACGCTAGGCAACCACCATTACACATTGATGTATTCTATGTTGCATGCCAATTACAGGACTAATATTCGATCATGTATCCTAATACATGATCGAATGGACTAATAATTCATTTAAAGCCCCTCATACGGCTCAAGATAGAGCGTTTCCCCAACTTTTTTGGTGACTGAACCTTTTGAAAAGGTCCTTGATAAGCAAAATCAAATCCTTTCTTAGTGTAGTAGTTCATTGTCTGGCGCCTCGATATCAACACGGGTTTGCCTATAAATATTGCATTACTTTCCCGTGTTTATTTCAAGACCGCGTCGGTTTGAACTGAACACGGAAACGTAAAATCGCATCCCAAACACTTCCTTCAATAATATGGAAAATTCCTTCGGTGTATACAACCTACGTTAGACTGTTATCGTTTTGATATTCATTCCGATGTTTTCTTTTTATTACTGATAAAAAACGGTACATCAAATATCGTAGTCCTGATAAAGTATTAGTTATTAAACAGAGTAGTTCAAATGGCACATGTTAAAAATAATATTTCTGATGAATTGACAACCGTTAAAGTAGATAGTTCTAATGTACCACGTTAAAAAATCGCATTTATGATAAATTAACATTTATTAAAGCGAGTAGTTCATATGTGCCACTTTCAGAAATAAGTATTATCTTATTTTTGAATTATCAATACATATATTGCAAGTGTATCACGATAAAACACAGTACTTAGTTCAAATCTACCAGATTTTAAAATAGTTTATCAGATACATCGTTTTCAAAAATAATAGTTAAAGAAACGTCCAATAAAATTTAGTAGCATAATAAAATTTTACAAATGTTTAGACTGTGAATAATTTAAAGTTTGTTACATTCAAATATATAACACAATCTCGAGCTGTCAAAGTTTATCAGGCTCATAAAATTTGATAAACGTTCTTACAACTAATTGATCATATCATATGTATGATACAGTATTTACATAAACTAGTAGATCAAATGTACCATGTTAAAAATCAATTTCTGATAAACTAACAGTATTTCAGGTGAATGGTTTACATGTACCGCATTTAAAAATCGTTTTTTAATAATTGATTTTATTGCTATCTCTGATGAACCAACTGCATAGTTCAAATGTATTATTTTCGAAAATTATATTTTTGATAAAGTAACATTTAAGATAGTTCAAATGTATCACGTCCGAAATTAGAACTACCCAATTCCTGATGAGTCAACAGATATTACAAAAGTGAACAACAGTAAAAAAACTAAAGTTTAAATGTATCTGAGTCAAAAATAGTAGATCAAATGTACTGCTTTTAAAAATAGTAATTCAAATATTGTATTTTGGATAAATTAATGGTTCTTAAAGCAAATAGTTCAAATTTAGTAAGTTCCTAATTTTTATTGTCTTATCTTTGATGAATCAATAGATATTAAGTGTACCACAGTAAAAAAACAGTAGTTTAAATTTACCGTCTTCAAAAATAGAATAAATTATCGATTAAAGAGAGTAGTTCAAATGTGCTTCGCTAAAAATGCTATTTCTGATGATCCAACAGTTGTTAAAATGGGTAGTTCAAATGTATCTCGTTCAAAAATCGCATTTTTGACCAATTAACGGTTTAATTTCAATATAATATAAATGTGATATTTATGATCAATTATTAGATATAGTAGTTCAAATGTAGAACGTTAAAAATTAGTATTACCTAATTCCTGATGGGTCAACAGATATTACAAAAGTGTACCACGGTAAAAAAACTAGTTTAAATGTATCAGAATCAAAAATATACTGCCTTTAACGGTCATTAAAGTGAATAGTTCAAATATACCAAGCTGAAAATAAGAATTATATGGATTTTGTAAGTCATTAAATAATGCAAATTTAATGTGGACAAAAATAGTAGTTCATATCAACCAGATTCAAAACTAGTTGATCATTCATAGATATTAAAGGTGAACTACAGTAAAAAACAGTAGTTCAAATGTATCAGATTTAAAAATAAAATACCGCTTTCAAAAGTACTTTAAATTGTATTTCTTTTTAATAAATTATCGATTAAAGAGAGTAGTTCAAATGTGCTTCATTAAAAATGCTATTTAGAATGGGTAGAATTTAACATGGGTATTACAAACGTACCTGTTTCAAAAAAAAAAAACGAATTTTTGATCAATTATCTGTTATAAAAGTAAATAGTTCAAATATACCAAGTTCAAAATTAGGATTATCCATATTTGGTAAATCTTTAGATATTGCAAATTAATTATGGTAAAAATAGTAGTTCAAATGAACTAGATTCAAAAATAGTAGATCAAATTTAGCAATTTCAAAAATAGAAATACAAATATGGTATTTCTGATCAATTATCGATTATTAGAGATAGTAGTTCAAATGTAGAACGTTAAAAATAATATTTCTGGTAAATATATAGTAGTTTGAAGTAAATTGACCATACATATTACCTTTTTAAAGGAAAATTATACATTTCTTTCTTATAGGTACTTATCTTATTTGCCATTAGTTTCTTCTTCATTTAATGATGTAAACTTGGGATTAGATTCTTCTAATTTATAGTAATAATAATTCTTGAATAATTATTAGAATGTTTTTCATATAAACTCCTTGATAGTTTATTTAAAGGTTCAACTAACTACAGAACAGAATAGATAAGGAATTTTACAAATGATAATATTCATTTTATTAATGAGTGTGTGTGCTCGTTATAAATAACCAATGCTGAAAATTTACAAAATAATAATTAACAAATAATACAATATCACTTTTTAAAAAACGTTAGAGCACTGAAATAAAAAATGCACAGCATGCCATGGTAAATTTTTTAACCATATAAAACAGATTACGTACTTAAATTCAATATTATGCATATCGATCACTATTCCTATATTAATTACAATTTTTTTAATATTATTCATATAAACTCTCATCAAATATACACAATTTTGATTTAAATTATTACGTCTTAAATTAAAAGTTCAACTCTTAAATCACTGCGAATGCACTGAATTTTTTGTTCTATAACTATAGTCTATGCTGTCTATATCCGCCCAGGAATTTCGCACCTCCATGAATAACTGAAACAAAAACAAAACAAATTACAGTAACAACAATTTTATATAGAACGTGTAAAGTATTTCCAAGATTTTTTGAAAAAATATCCATAAATCCGCTTGAGACATATAAACTACTACAATGGCCTCTTCCCATTGACAATTAGTGATGTTTATATTGTTGGGCTATTTAACAATGTAAGAGTTTTTATATCAGTAGATTAGCCTCAAAACAGCAAGGAAAAATTAAGGTTTCCATAAAATTGATTTAATATTTGATACCCACATTTTTTTTTGGTAAAAGTTTTTCTTTAGGAAAGCTAGGAGGTGGCTATCATCTTAGGAGGATGCCCAATGGGCCTAGTAAGGCATAAGTGCCGCGGAATAACCCACCCTCCACACGTTACAGATGGGAAAGGAAAAAATTATATAATTACTTCTTAGGCTAGGAAAATTAACCTCAAAAAAGTTTAGTATACATTCCAAATATAAAAAAAATCTTAGATCAACTTTTTACGAAAAAATATAATTGATAAAAGCAGCCTTAATACGTACTTGATTCAGCCAGCCCTCGTCCGCCAATAATTCATTTAATATACACGTAGTATCTTTAGTCGTATCATTAGTCCGTTTTTCACTAACACGTTTTGCACATTCTATATACATAAGATACTTTTGATGAGTCACTTTGTTCAAAAGTTCCACTTGGGTTACACATAATCTACACATTAAGAAGTCCTAAAACAAACGGAAAATATATACATATATAAATAATTATTAACGGATGCAAAAATAATACAGTCTTCAACAATACCCGACTTATTCACCAATAAATTTATGGGATTAAACATATTCAAGTGTGTCACAGTCAAAAAACAATAGTTCGAATCAACTAGATTCAAAAATAATATATCAAGTGTATCACTTTCAAAAACAGTATTTCTGATAAACATTGTTAAAGTGGATAGTTCAAATGTACCACGTTTAAAAATTGTATATTAAGTACCTATCATTAAAACGGTAGTTCAAATGTACCACGTTCTATAATTGATAATCCACTTAACCCTCCAAATAAAATGTGTACATGAGAAAACACAAGCCAGAGAATCCAACTTAGAAATCTGCCAAAATTAATATTAACATTTTACATTTAGTTTACTAGAAGATATCATTACCCTCAGCTTACCATTTTTGAATCCATTCAAATACATATATAACCCTAAAAGATTCACTTTATTTTTTGCAAATCGGATGATAATACCTTGGTCGAAACAGTAGTTCAAATGTACCACTTTTAAAAACAGTAATTTTAATATTTTTATCATAAATTATTGGTTACTAATACGAGTAGTTCAAATGTACCGCATTAAAAATCATTTATAAAAAAAAACTAACAGTTTTTAAAGTGATTAGATCAAATGTACCAAGGGCAAAAACAATATTTTGAATGAAACAAATTCAAAAATAGTACTACTTTTAAAAATAATAATTCAAATTAGTATTTTTGATAAATTATCGGTTATTGAAGCAAGTAGTTCAAAGATACCAAGTTAAAAATCGGGTTTCTGATAAATTAACAGTTCGTTGTTACAGTCACCTCAATTATTTTTGATAAATTAACAGTTTAAAGCGAATAGTTCAAATGTAACACGTTCAAAATTTGGATTTATTTATGGAAGATATATAAATGTTAAAAATAGTTGTGTACGTTCCATTTGTACTCTTTAGAAGTAAGCCTAGCTTAGCGTTAATAACGTTTATCTAAGCATTGTTATAAACGACGTCGCCATTCATTAAACAGGGTATCTCAAAAAGTTTTTATGCAAATGAAATTTTTTTTTTATTTTATACACGTTTTGAAACGCCCTGTACAATGGATTGCGACGTGCTCTTCGAGCACGTCGTTAACAATTTGTATCTAAACATTGTTATTAACGACGTGCTCTTCGAGCACGTCGCAATCCATTATACAGGGTATCTGAAAAAGTTTTTGTGTATATGAAAAGAAGTTTAATTTTACACACATTTTGAAACACCCTGTACAATGGATTGCGACGTGCTCGAAGAGCACGTCGTTAACAATGTTTATCTAAGCATTGTTATTAACGACGTACTCGAAGAGCACGTCGCAATCCATTATACAGTGTGTGTCAATAATATACAACAAATTAATTTAAAAAAACACTGTATAACCATCAAAAAAGTAGTTACTTGATTCAAACATTCTTGAGAATCGACATATAAGAACCAAGGGATAGATATTGAAACTGCCATCAAGATATAAATTCTATATGCAGTCCACTAATCAACTATGTTTGTGCCTCATTCCAAACATGCAATAGAAACGCCTTTAATAATATTGAGAAAGCATAGAGTGGCCTAAAAATCATTATTGAAATGAAACATACTGATAATCCTCACCATAACCCTCCAAATTGACTTATTAACAGACATACAATTTCCATCCAGTTTACTAGAAGACGTCATTTTCCCCAGCTAAACATTTTTAAATCTATCCAAAGACAGATAAACTAAGAAGATTAATGTTTTATACATATATAACAGTAAATACGTGGCGAAAGACTCCAGTCGATAGCCCTTTAGGAGTACCCAATAAATATATGTTCTTCTTCTGAATACATTGACCACATGAGAATTGTAAACTATATTCTACCATATTACAACTGTAGATAAATAAATGAAAGACAAATGATGGTACATCGGTCAAAACAATAGTTCAAATGTACCACTTTCAAAAACAGTAATGCAAATACCGCTTTTCCGGTAAATTACCAACGATTGTTATAGTGAATAGTTCAAATGTACTACGTTCAAAAATTATCGAGCGGAATACGGGTGTTATTGAATTGATAAATTAACTATTATTAAAGCTAGTAGTTCAAGTGTACCATCACCAAAATTAGGTTCATTTTATTTCTGAAAAGTTAACAAATATTTAAGTTAGTAGTTCAATTCTACCATTGTTAAAAATAGTAGATTAAATGAATTAAGTTCAAAAATTGCTCAAAGATCATAGTTCTGATTAAATTACCAGTTACTTCAGTGAGTAGTTCAAATGTACAGGATTACCAGATTTATGATGAGTTAACAGATATTTAAGTAAATAATTCAAGTCTATTACTGCCAAAAAGAGTGGCTTACTTTATAATCTCCCCATAATTATGTTTTTAACTCCATTGAACTTATTTGGGGCCTTTCCAAGTCATATTGTAATAAAGATATTAACAGAGAAGATAATAAAGAACAAGATTATTTAAATATAGAAAAATTCTATTAACCACAAAAAAAATATTAAAATGGTATGAAAGAGAGTTTTTGATAGATTGAATGATATGTTAATTCATCTGCAATAGGTTTAGTGCACAGTTTTATTTTCCATGACTATTTGTTGTTGATGGTACATCAATCAAAACCGTAGTTTAAATGTACCACTTTCAAAAACAATAATTTTGATACATTTATCATAAATTATTGGTTATTAATACGAGTAGTTCAAATGTACCGCTTTAAAAATCATATTTATAATAAACTAATAGTTGTTAAAGTGAATAGTTCAAATGTACCACGTTCAAAAATTGTCGAGCGGGATACGGGTGTTACTGAAGACTATATAATAAATAATTGAATGTTATTTTTTTTATCAATATTACAATAGAAGAAAAATACTAAATCGGTAATACATAAATTTAATGACAAATTTTAAAAAATATAGGCCGGATGATGACTGAATAAGGTCGAAACTAGTTACGGTCAAAACATTAGTTCAAATATACCACTTACAAAAGCAATAACTCAAATACTGCATTTCTGATATTGGTTACTAATATGAGTAGTTCAAATGTACCGTATTAAAAATCATATTTACGATAAACTAACGGTTGTTAAAGCGAATAGTTCAAATGTACCACGTTCAAGAATTATCGCGCGACATACGGGTATTATTGAAGACTTAAATAATGAAGCGAAACCAACGTTTTATCAATAAATAAATAAATGTATACAAAATTCCTTTACCTTTTCATTTATGGCATTGGGATCGGGCTGGCAACCCTCGAGTGTGGTCGCGTTGTACGGCTGGCCGTACATCAGCACCCTGACGGCCACGCCGGTCCTGCCGCACGCGGCGCACAACTTCGTTTCCGTATCGGCCGGGCTGACCTCTCGGATGACGTTGAAACAAGGCCACGTGCATACGGCCGATTGTACGGCCGCCGGCCACCTCAACAAATTGAAGAACTTCTGTTTCTTGCTGTCCGTTATGTCGTCGATGGTTTGTACGTTCGATAGGAAGTAATCATCTAGAAGAGAGAAAGAAGAAAAAAACAATGGTGATTTTTTGGTTCTACGTCGATCCATGTGCTGTGAAAGTTATTACAGAAGTGTAGATTGATAGATATACAGCTTTATTCATGTAAACATTGGTCTTAAGTTAGTAATAATAAAAGAAAAAACTTATAATATTTTTAATACAAATCCCATTTCACATCATCAGTGACGTTAGACATTTATCATAGTACTACCAACTAATTAAAATTAATCTGAAAATCAAAGCTGGGCAGTACTCAAAGTACTCAGTAACTGGTATTCGTAAGTACTTTTACCCTGATATGACTTACACTCAAAAAATTTCAAGTTCTTTATATTTTAGAGTATCTACTCAGTACTTAAAGTTAACGGCATATGGAAAACTTTTTATTATTAATTTTAGGGAAAAAGTTATTCTTCATAAAAAGTTCTTTATGACCTAAAACCCAAAATTCAATCATCTGTTATCAAATTTTATCAGTCATATACTAGGTTTGTCAAAAATAAAGATACTTTACTCTTGAGCAAAATTCATATTATTTGACATACCTCCTATATATACTATTATAAAAATTTGATATCTGGAAGGTTGCATTTTAGGTTTTAATAAAAAAGTTTCCCATATGCTACGAACTTAAGTAACACATTGTATATAGTAGAATATGGACAGTGATAGTAATTCAAATGTACCACTGTCAAAACAGTAAATTAATTGTACCAAGTTCCATATATAATTCAATTATCGTATTTCTGATTAAATAATCACTTATATGTAATAGTTCAAACGTACAAATTTAAAAAATCCTATTTTTGATCCTTTAATCGTTATTAAAGCTGGTAGTTCATATGTACCATGTCCAAAATTGGGATATTACTGTTTTTCTGATGTGTTAAACATAAGTTCAAAAATATTTCACTTTTAAAAGTAGTTCAAATATCGTATTTCAGTTATTACAGTGAGTAATTCAAATGCAGTTATTTCATTTCATTATTTTTCTTTGTTCAATTTTCATTTAATTATATTTATATACCAAATTGCTAAGTAAAGTTATTTACTACTACAAGTATTAGTTCAAATGTACTTACTACTGCCAAAAAATAGTAATTCAAATGCATTTTTGATGAAAATATCAGTTATTAGTGAGTAGTTCAAATGTACCACGTTAAAAATCTAATTTTTGATAAACAGTTGTTAAAGTGAATAATTCAAACTTGCAACGTTTAAAAATCATATTTTTGATAAACTAACGATAATTAAAGCTAGTAGTTCAAGTGTACCATCTCCAAAATTAACTTTATTTTATTTCTGATAAGTTAAAAAATATTTAAGTTAGTAGTTCAATTCTACCATTGTCAAAAATAGTAAAATTAAATGAATTAAGTTCAAAAATAGACCAAAAATTGCTCAAGGATCATAGTTCTGATTAAATTATCAGTTATTACAGTGAGTAGTTCATACATACAGGACAGGATTACCAGATTTATGATGGATTAACAGATATTTAAGTGAGTAATAACTGCCAAAAAGAGTAGATTACTTTATAATCTCCCTATAATTGTGTTTTTAACCCCAGTGAACTTATTTGGGGGCTTTCCAAGCTATATTATGATAAAAATATTAGCAGAAATGATAATAAAAAAAAAAAGATTCGTTAAATATAGAAAAATTATATTGAACACACAAAAAAGTAAATATTAAAATGGTATATGAAAGGGAGAGAGTTTTGATAGATTGAATTCATCTGCAATAGGTATACTACATAATTTTATTATCTATGACTATTTGTTGATGATGGTACATCAGTCAAAACCTTAGTTCAAATGTACCACTTTCAAAAACAATAATTTTAATAGATTTATCATAAATTATTGGTTATTAATAAGAGTAGTTCAAATGTACCGCTTTAAAAATCATATTTATAATAAACTAATAGTTGTTAAAGTGAATTCAAATGTACCACGGTCAAAAACAGTATTTTGCATAAAAAAATTCAAAAATAGTGGATAAAATGTATTACTTTCAAAAATAATAATTTAAATTGCTATTTTTAATAAATTATCAAGTAGTTTAAAGTTAAAAATAGGGTTTTTAATCAATTAACAGTTCTGATATTTAACCTCAATTATTTTTGATAAATTAACAGTTTAAAGCGAATAGTTCAAATGCAACACAAATAAAATAATGAATAAACTGAAGGTTTATTGTGAAAATTTGTCATTTTAAATTTTCGAAACAAATGCTAAAGAAACGGGAGAAATCATTAACAAACCAAAGGAAATTTGAAAAATTGAAAAAATCTGCTCTGGGCGAGGCTCTAACTAAAGAGTCCCTCAAGGTTCATTACTTTCAATATTTAGTAAACAACTTCAGTAAATAAATGTGACAAGAGTCATTTATGAACATATTCTCAAAATTTATAATGTTTGTCGCAAAAACCATACTTTTCCTCGTTAACAATGTGTATCCAGGCACTTTTATTAACGACGTGCTCGAAGAGCACGTCGCAATCCATTATACAAAAAGTTTTTATGCAAATGGAAAAGTTTTATTTTACACACGTTTTGAAACACCCTGTACAATGGATTGCAACGTGCTCTTCGAGCACGTCGTTAACAATGTTTATCTAAGCATTTGAACTACTCACTAACAACTGATATTTTCATCAAAAATGCTTTTGAATTACTATTTTTTGGCAGTAGTAAGTACATTTACGTAAATAATGGTCATGTCAAATAAAAAAAAAAAACAAAGAAAACTTATTTCATATAAGTTGGTGATAATAAAAAAAATTATTAATATGTTACAATATATGTTCAAATGGAAGTAAAATTTTGCTAGAAATAAAGATTCTAAATTTTTCGCGTGAACACCCGGTATATTTTCGACATTTTTAATTTTTTTTTTACTAACAGAAGCAAGCATGTTACATAAAAAAAGAGGGGTACAAAATTTTTTATTGAATAATTGATGCCAACTTACACTAAAACATTCATAAGTCAAATTAACAAACAAAACTCCTTTCAAATAATCCATATAAAATTATTAAAAAAAAAAAAATAAAACTTTACTTACCTTTTTCATGGAATATCTCCATAAGGAAGTTGCTATCCAACGCTTGCGATATCAGAGTCTGTATGTACACCTCAAAGTTATCCTGATAAGCTTCGGATTGCTTCATGCATTGTTCCTGATATACGTGGTCTATTATGGTCATCTCGCTCTTTAGAAATTCCACGACGGTTTCTAATTGACTCTGCGATCTGTATTTCACTGGTACGGCCAAGTACTGTTTTTTGCTTTCCGGACTCCACGAAGTAAACTAAAAAAAAAAAAAATTCCGAATCAGTAGAGATTATTTTATGTAGATTCGCACTCTTAAATGTTGGTATATTATTAATGAACATCCTGTATATGTTAAAAAAACACACAAGTGCGGCAGATCGCAAATAAAGAGATGACGCACATGAGCGTTTTCACATTTTACGAAAATTCATATTACGTATATAAACAATTTTGCATTCAATAATATTCGGATTTAATTTGTATATTTTGAATAATATTTAGACAGTTTATTATTTTTGTCATGTCAATTTTGATGTTTTGAAAAACTACGAAAAACAAACTATAGTAGATTTGTCTGAATAAAATTATTTTTATGAAAATCTTATATTACTTAAAACCTTACCGTAGATATGTTCCTATATAACGTAACACCGTTTTGCTCAAACGGTTCATATTTCTGCAGCAAAGTCTTTCCATCTACCCTCCAAATGTCCGGCCATTCTTCTTTCAGATCAGATTTGATTACAACAAATTCTCCAGGCTAAAAGAAAATAGGTATTTTAGAAAAACAAACATTAACAAACACGTACAGTGTCTCCTAAATTCGTCATCATGTCCATTGCTGTCTCAAGTTATTGTCCTATGAATTATTTTGTATATAGGGTGTGCCATTATTGCGAAGAAATTATCATCAATTAAAACTATTTATAACCAATAATGGTTTCCTTTGATACAAAAAGATTTGACGCACATGTGCGTTTTTCATCATAACGATATGCAAATATTTAAAACTATGAATCTACACGAAAAACTTATGAACTATGGTTCAAAAATGTGCTGTTAAGAAAATGCTGGGTGCTTAAGTTTCAATAAAAAAGAAAAGGAAATTAATTAACATTTACGAGATAGCTGGAGATATTCTAGTAATATTTAATAGACATGGGTATTTTAAAAACTCTGTATTTAACAATGACGACTTCCTTTGCTACAAAAAGATCTGACGCACATGTGCGTTTTTCATCAAAATGATATGCAAATATTTAAAAGTATGAATCTACACGAAAAATATATGAACTATGGTTCAAAAATGTGCTGATAAGAAAATACTGGGTGCTAAAGTTTAAAAAAAAAAAATTAATTAACATTTTCGAAATAGCTGGAGATATTTCAGACATATTTAATAAACACGGGTATTTTAAAAAATATATTTATAACAATAATGACTTCCTTTGATACAAAAAGATCTGACGCACATGTGCGTTTTTTAACATAATTATATGCAAATATTTAAGAATATGAATCTATATGAAAAATTTATGAACTATGGTTTAAAAATTTGCAGTTAAGAAAATACTGGGTGCTAAGTTATAAGAAAAAAAAATTAATTAACGTTTTTTAATATTTAAAAGACAGGAACAGGAAATTTACATATTTTTCAATACAAAAATAATTTTGAAGGGTACGGACTTCGATATTTTTAAAGAAAAAAATGATAAATGTTATAAATAATTTTTAAATTACCGTTAATTTTAAAAATTAGAGCTCTCTTGAGTTTTTTCTGCAGTGCACTGTTTTATGAGTAAATTAATATATTTATTGAATACAATTTTGTATTTTTGGACCAAACTATCAATCATTTTTCATGTAGATTCTCACTCTTAAGTATTGGTATATTATTAATGAACATTCTGATAATGATAAAAAACGCACAAGTGCGTCAGATCAGAAATAAAAAGTATGACGCACATGAGCAATGCCGGGCGTACGAGCATCAATTACGATATCTTTGAAAAAAAAAAAAAAAAATGGTACGCCAATGGTTTTTTCATCAATAAAAATTCTTTTTGAATTCCTCGTTCAATTTGAAACATAGCAGCTCTCTTCAGTTGTTTTCCTGCGTTGCGTCGTTTTTGAGCAAATTAATTATTGAATTAGTTATTGAAGAATGCAATTTTGTATTTTTATACTAAACTATCAATGATTTTTCATGTAGATTATCACTTTAAAATATTCACATATTATTAGTGAACATCCTCTATATGATGACAAACGCACAAGTGCGTCTGATCGGGAATAAAAAGAAATGACGCACATAAGCGTTTTCACGTTTTATGAACATTCATATTACATAGATGATAAATACAGCATTTTTAACTTGAATTTAAAATTTTTCATGTAGATTCACCCTTTTAAATAATCGCAAATCATCAATAAACAGAGGTATATGATGAAAAACGCATAAATGCATCAGATCGGAAATAAAGAGTTGACACACATGAGTGTTCTCATGTTTTATGAATATTAATATTACATAGACGCCAAATATAACATTTTTATCAACCTCAATAACGCTTTCGACACTGTGTAGACATAATTTAACATTTTTCATGTAGATTCGCACTCTGTAATGATGAAAAACGCACAAGTGTGTCAGATCGGAAATAGACGCAAAATATAACATTTTTATCAACCTCAACGCTTTTGACACTACACAATTTAAAATTTTTCATGTAGTTTCGCACTCTTAAATATTCGCAAATCATCAAGAAACACTTTGTATACGATGAAAAACGCACAAGTGCGTCAGATCGGAAATAAAGAGTTGACGCACATGAGCGTTTTCGTGTTTTATGACCATTAATATTACATAGACGCCAAATACAACATTTTTATAAACCTCAATAACGCATTCGACACAATTTACATTACATTTTACTCACCTTGAACGGCAATTCGTCGCTGGGCGGCGGAATACTGTTTTGTATCGAAGCGGCGATGTTGTCTTCCAACGTAGGCGCCGTGTTCGATTGCTGAGGCCCCTGTTGGTGTAGATGCTTGTTCTTATGCGACGATTTCTTCTTGTGAACGTGATCGTTCGACGAGTATTCGTCGCCCTCGTTGATGCCGGCACCTTGAGCGGCGGCCGAAATCAGATTTTTGAGTCCCTTCTTCGATTTACTGCCCACTGGATGTAACAAAACTGTTTATTTAAATGGGATAAAATCGAAATTTATAATTTTGACTTACATGGTCTGCCTCTCCGTTTCGATTTTAGAGGTAAATTGACGTCTTCGGGATCGGTATTGGCCGCCGGCGTCCAAGCGGGATCGGAATCCGAATCTTGAAACTCCGGCGGTTCCTCAGGTTCATCGTCCTTTCCCATATCCGATAAATTTCCCTTTTTCTTCGCCGCCCTCTTCGTGGATTCCCTCTTAGGTAAATCGTCTATGTTGTCCTTATCCTTTTTCTTGTCTTTCTTCTCTTTATGCTTTTTTTCTTTTTCGGGCTTCGGTGGTTTGTCGCCCTTCGGTTTTTTCGGTTTATCCGGTTTGTCAGCTTTTATTTTATCCTTCTTTTTCTCCCTGTCCTTCTCCTTGCCCTTGTCGTCTTTATCTTTGACTTCTTTGTTATCTTGTCCCGCCGCCGCAGCGGCGGCGGCCGCCTGGTGTTTCTTCTTGTGTCCGAAAAAATCGTCGTCCGAGCTGAAACCGTCATCGGAGCTGTCGAAGCTGTTGCGCTTGCGTTCTTTGGGTAAAGGGAAGTACCTGGGATCGTCTTGGGGGTCCCCCTGGGTGGACAGTCGCGGGAGGGTGGTCGGTAGCGGGGGAATAGAAGCCGACGAAGGCATCGGTTGTTGAGGGTTAGTCGGAGTCGGTACTCCGTTGCTATCCGGCGATTTATCGTCGATGCCTTTCATGGGAGCGCGAGGCCAAGTCGATTGTTTTCTGTTACCGCCGCCGCGCATCGCCGGCGGTGGTGACGTGTCCCGTTCTCCTTGGAGAAACTTTAAGTAGCTACTCATGAAGCCCGAGCCGGCGCCGGTGGGTTTTTCGGGGGGTTTATTAGCGCCGGAATTCAATGATTTCTGATGCTGAGGACCGCCGTGGTGTTGGTTATTCGGCACCGAAGATCTAGTCGCATCTGAAACATATGGCATTCCCGAAAAAACTGCACTACACCGCTTCGTATCAAGACACTCACCTTGAGAAAGAAAATTAAGTTCCTCCTCGATATTCGGCACGACGACCTTGGGATGTTCCTCGGGCTGTTGAGGCTGGTACTGATTGGAAGCTTGCGGTGATTGTTCGCTGTAATTGGTGAGCGGAGTGAGTTCGACGGACGAGGGGTATTCGGGATGAGGGGGTATGTGGAAGGGAGCGAAATACGGCAGAGGAGGCGGGGGATGATGGCCGTGCGGATGCGGCACCATCAATCCTTGGTGTTGTTGGTGTAACGGTTGCGACGTGAATATTTTGGAAGTCGGCGGCGGGAGATTCCATCTGTCGAAGTCGAAGTAGGCGCCGTTTTGTTGCGGTTGGTTGGCGCCGGAACTGTGAGCCGGTGGTGGAATTCGACCTAGGAGAGAAATAGCGCGAATTATGCTTCTACGTTAAAGTTTAAAGAATTCTATTTAAAACTGTTAGCTTAAATACGAATATGCAAAATCGATACTGAGGCTAGCCATGTGTGTGTTAATAGGGTAGATAAACAAAAAGAAAGTTCTTTATATTTCACATAGATTCAAAAAATTAAATATAGTATGTTAAGATTTTAATAAATACTTTTTATTAATTTAATTTAAATATTCTAAACATTGCAAAAAAACCGTTATTAATATAATAGTTTATTTTTCATTGGTATTAACTTTTTAAATTCTAATAAATTATTAATAATTTTGTCAAAATGTATAGTATTCTTTAATTAAGATATTAAAACGTTTCTGTCAGTAAAAAATGTGTTTATAATCGTTTTTTTTATATATATATATATTCTTTGCACAAGTACCCCTTAATAAGAATCTTGGACTTACATAACCCAGCGTTACTAGACCATTCTTCCAGTGATCGTTCTCTGATCCATGGAAGGCCAGTCAGTGGCTCAAGTCCTGTAAAGGGATTTCTCGAGCTGTACAATTTACACATAAATCGTTTTAAAAAAATAGAACATAAAATAGTATTTATTTTGCTTCACAATAGAATCCAGCATTGCTTATTCTATTTAAAAATATTCATTCGTTTTTTTTTAATTAATTAATTATTTAAAATTTTATTTTTGATGAAGGTTTAAATACCGCTCAAAATGGCTTAGCCACATTTTAAAATCAAACATTTCTCCTTGAAATCCAAACAACTATCACACCTAACAGTATATCGTACTTTACAATTTTTTGTAAGTACGGTTCTGTTCATTTTCTTAAAGCCTTAAGATTTAGGGAATTTTTATTACTAAGTTGATAGGTAGGAACAAATGGATACAAAGAACGACCTCCACGGTCTCCAGATTTGAACCCTATGGGTTATTTATACTAAAAGTGACAGGTCGACAACTGTTAAAATTATTGAATCTTAGTTAGATGTTATATTTAAATGCCGATTTGGTGTATTTGAGCTGGAGATAGATAAAAAGGTTATAATACATAAAAGATGTAGAATTTTATTAAGAACATTTTAGATTCCTAAAGTTTTTCTCGCAAAAGCGACGGTTTTTAACAAAAATGAAGAAAACTGGCGCAAGGTTGTGTTTCGTTCAAGTCCTAAATTAAATCAATTATTATCAAAAAATTCAAAGATCGTTAAAATTCTCAAAAAAAAACATACTTGGCAGATTGTGCATCTCGGGCGGCGGCGGCGGTTTATCGCTGCTCTTCCTCCTCTTAATCGGCGGCTTGGCCTCCGTCTTAATCTCTTGCGGTACGGCGCAACTTTGTTGCTGCTGCTGTTGCAGATTCTTGACGATGCTCATCGGATCGCCCCTGCAACTGGACAGGTCCTGCAAAGTGACCTGGTGGCCGCTATTGGAATCGAAATAGGTGTTTTGTCGTTCGATGACGATCCTCTGTTGATTCGGTTCCGTCCTGGTCATCTCTAAATTGTTATTCGACGCGTAATTGGTGCTGGATTGCGAACCCGATTGGTTGGGAGGAAATTTACGCTGGGCTTGCTGTTTCGATAGAAAAATCGGTATTAAATTAATACACAAGTTTGGAAAAAATCTAAGATTAAATCCTGAGGTCAAATCCTAAGATAAAATACCAAGACAAAATTCCAAGATAAAATACTAAGATAAAATACTAAGATAAAATCTTAAGATAAAATCCTGAAATAAAATCCTAAGATAAAATCATAAGATAAAATCTCAAGATAAATTTCTAAGACAAAATCCTAAGATAAAATCCTAAGATAAAATCCCAAGATAAAATTCCAAGATAAAATACTAAGATAAAATCCTAAGATAAAATCCTAAGATAAAATCCTGAGATAAAACCCTAAGACAAAATCATAAGATGAAATCCTAAGGTAAAATCCTGAGATAAAATCCTAAGATAAAATTCTAAGATAAAATACTAAGATAAAATCCCAAGATAAAATTCCAAGATAAAATTCCAAGATAAAATACTAAGATAAAATCCCAAGATAAAATCCTAAGACAAAATCTTAAGACAAAATTCCAAGATAAAATACTAAGATAAAATACTAAGATAAAATCTTAAGATAAAATCCTGAAATAAAATCCTAAGATAAAATCATAAGATAAAATCTCAAGATAAATTTCTAAGACAAAATCCTAAGATAAAATCCCAAGATAAAATTCCAAGATAAAATACTAAGATAAAATACTAAGATAAAATCCTAAGATAAAATCCTAAGATAAAATCCTGAGATAAAACCCTAAGACAAAATCATAAGATGAAATCCTAAGGTAAAATCCTGAGATAAAATCCTAAGATAAAATTCTAAGATAAAATACTAAGATAAAATCCCAAGATAAAATTCCAAGATAAAATTCCAAGATAAAATACTAAGATAAAATCCCAAGATAAAATCCTAAGACAAAATCTTAAGATAAAATCCCAAGATAAAATTCCAAGATAAAATACTAAGATAAAATCCTAAGATAAAATCCTAAGATAAAATCCTAAGACAAAATCATAAGGTAAAATCCTGAGATAAAATCTTAAGATAAAATCTCAAGATAAAATCTCAAGATAAAATCTCAAGATAAAATCCCAAGATAAAATTCCAAGATAAAATCCTAAGACAAAATCATAAGATGAAATCCTGAGATAAAATCATAAGATAAAATCCTAAGATAAAATCTCAAGATAAAATCTCAAGATAAAATCTCAAGATAAAATCTCAAGATAAAATCTCAAGATAAAATCTCAAGATAAAATCTCAAGATAAAATCTCAAGATAAAATCTCAAGATAAAATCTCAAGATAAAATCTCAAGATAAAATCCCAAGATAAAATTCCAAGATAAAATCCTAAGACAAAAGCCCAAGATAAAATCCAAAGATAAAATCCCAAGATAAAATCCCAAGATAAAATTCCAAGATAAAATCCCAAGATAAAATCCCAAGATAAAATCCCAAGATAAAATTCCAAGATAAAATCCCAAGATAAAATCCAAAGATAAAATCCCAAGATAAAATCCCAAGATAAAATCCCAAGATAAAATCCCAAGATAAAATCCAAAGATAAAATCCCAAGATAAAATCCTAGGATAACATCTTGTTACGTCGGTAGAGCTTCTTACCTGTCTTTCGTCCCAACAATTTTGATTCTGCTGATTGCTGTGATTGGGCCGTTCGTAGCGTTCCGGGAAATTCTTTTCGTGATTCAACGCGCGCGTTATGACAGACGGATAGGCGACGTTGCCGGTTTGCGAACTCGGTCGCGGTACCGAGACGTCCAGAGGAGACGGCGGAGCTACTTGATTACTGGAACTTTGCTGCGGCGACGATATAGAATTCATGGGGCTGTTGTACATCGGATAGGCCGGGCTTTGTGCATGACCTGTTTTAATAATAATTAATATAATTCATCTGGAAGAAGGTTAGATCGTAAAAACTTCCAATTTTGAGATTTCAATGAGAAACTATTTTAAACTGTGCGAAGAATGCTGTCAAATGTCATTGCACCGAAGTTTGGAGATAACAGGAGATAAAGTATATGGCACCTCTGTCAGCATTCTTCACACATTGTTGACATTAAATCACTGTCAATTATTTCAATATACAAGTAAAGTGCTTTGATCTCCATTTGCTCACTTTAAATCAATTGTTGATGAGGCAAATTAAACTTTACTCACCTAACGGAGACGCCTGGGAATGTGCTTGAAGTGGACTAGGTCGTCGCGGTACGACGACATTACAATCCGGCCCATTCGAATTGTTATAATCCGACCCACTCTTCGGCCTCTGGAATTCCTCAGCAGCGTTAGCCCCGCCCTGCTGCTGCGGATAATGTCGATAATTATGCTGGAATTGCGGCGGCCTCTTGCCAGAAGAATTACTACCGGCGTAATTCAACCTTCCCGGAGCGTCCATAATCGAAAAACTAATAGGCGACGATTGGCTCTGGTTCTCCTCGTTGGCGGCGCGTTGTTGGCGCTCCTGCTGGCTGCCCAGCTCCGAGTATATCTTAGTTTGCGCCTTGGTCTGGATCTGCTGTTGGACCGGAGACGCCTGTTGCTTGCTGGGCGGCGAAGCGAAGGCCTTTTCGATGGTAGTACGGGAAGCATTCGGAGACGGTAGGAAAGTAGTACGAGAAGGCGGTTGCGGCACCCTGTATTCCTTCGAAACGGTCGTCGGAGGCGACGATACGATACAGGATTGTTGGATGTTCGAGGTGTTGGCCGACGAGAAAGCCTTGTTGGTGTTTGAGGTATTATCGGACACGCTGGATGGTACTTGGAAAAAGCTACTCGAATTGCCTTGTGATGCATTTGTTTTGGTGGACGCAGAAGACACCTGCGGACTTTGAGCCCTGTTAGTACCCGATTTGGCAAGTTGAGAATTCAAATGATTATTAATGCTTTGGGCTGCCGCGAAGTGAGCGTTGAAATTTTCGTAGGTCTTACTCGTAGTCGTCGCTACGACGCTCTCGTGCGGTAATATCCCGAACGGGCTGCTCTGCTGCCAGGCGTTGCCTTGCTCGAAAAAAGCTTGGGTTTGGGGATGGAAATCGCCTTCCTGCGCCTGTTTATTGGCGGCGGCTTGAGCGAGCGCTTGCGCCCTCTGCTGGGTGACTTGGGAAACGTAATGAGCGGCCGCGGCGGGTTTCGCGCCGGCGGCTGCATGGTGGAATAGGGGGAATACTGATTCGTAGCCGACGGGGGGTGGGGAGAGGAAGCCGCCGGGCAGGAGTTGGGCTGTGGTGGTGGGCGGGGCTCCGCCGGCTGTCGTCGTAGCTAAATGGTGGTGTAATTCGCCGCTGCCTGTTCCCGCTTGCACGCTGGCAAGACGGTTATAGGGGGCGGCGTACCATGGCCCTACTGGATCCATGATTCGAGGTGTTTAAATCATGTCGCATAGCCATCCCATCTGGAAATAATACAAGTCAACGTTAAAATTTAGGAAGAAGACAATATTAATTATGAAAATAAATCTTTATTGGTCTTTTTTGATCACTATACAATAATGTAGGATATGCCAAGATACATGTAGTCGACAAAACACAATTTAAAATCTAACATACACATATATTACGTTACCTTAATATTATAAAAACATTTTTTAATGTTTGTAATCCAACCTCTCAATAAAAACAATAAAACAAAATTAAAACTCGTATTTTTATTGTAACCATATCATTTCTTTTATTTAAATAATTTTCAGAGACTCTGAATACTGTTTCTCTTACTCCACAACTTCGAAGAACATTTAAAAGTCGTTTGTTAGGAGCAGTGTTAAATGCCTTTGTAAGGTCGATAAAGACACCTATATTCTAGTTATTCTTTGGGCTACTTTTTACTAAATGGGCGACGTTTGATTTAAGTTGAAACAAACAATTTTTATAAAACGTTTTTTCTTATTTCCGAAAAGTTAACAAAAATAGAGCTGCCCATTCTAAATTGTACAAATTTGTTTCGGTAAAATAGATACATAAATAAAATGAAAAAAGAATATTTAACATTTTTTGTCAGTTAAAAAAAAATGTTTGGGAACTATTTTTACTGAGACTGGTAAGAAAATCTTATGTGCTATTATAATATGTCGTATATTTTAAATGGAAATATAATTCCCAGAGCCGTAAGCGTAACTAATATTTTAATATTAGGGTTGGAATAAATCATGATTTTTATTTAAAAAAAGGTCAATAAAAGTAATTTTAAATAAACAGATTTCAAATCATGCAGATGCACTTAAAAGTTGAGATTATTGACTTTCTCATAGATCATCAGATCCTTACCAACTGTATACGAAAATATCCCTGAGGTATCCCCTTTCTAATAAAAAAGAATCACAAAAATGAGACAAAATGATAAAGAATTATCTCTATAAAAACTTTAAAAATGAAGAGTTTAATGATTTTCTTATGGGCCCCATTATTAGATATTGACCAAATTTATATGGGACCACCCTTGAGCTGTCCTCTTTCTAACAAAAAAAGAGTCATAGAAATCGGACAACTTAATAAAGAATTATTGCTGAACATACATAAAAAATATATATATATTCCGACGAATTGAGAATCTCCTGCTTTTTTGAAGTTTGTTAAAATTCCGACTTTCCTGGATTCTGATTTTGAAAAAAAAAAAAACTCACTAAAAACAAAACATTAAATTGAAACATTAATTGATTATATATTGATTTTTTCAACACTAATTTCAACTCTGATTACGTCCTTATTATGAGTCATCAGCAAGAAATAGACATTCTCGATTCCAATTTCTAATGGAACATGTAAATTCGTTAAATTTACTGGTATACAGGGTGCCCCGAAATTATTGTTTACACTTTTGAATAAGATAACATTAACTTATCATGAAATTTTCAAATGCTTTTCTCTTGAAAATGGTTCGTCCTAGCGAGATACAAAAAAAGTAGCTTTATTATTGGGAAAATATTGGTTTTTCAAATTTTGTAGTCAAAATATTATAAACAGTCAACAAAAAAAAACTTAGCACAATTTAATCCTAAGTCCCCCCCTATGAAGATGATCAAAAACTGGCGTTTAGTCCGTTAAATAGAGCATAAAAAGTTTAGCATTTGTACCAAATTTCACTTAGTTATCTTTAAAAGTTTATAAAATATTTACAAAAATGTGTCATCAGGACTTTTAACACCCTGTATCTCGGACACAAAACGTTTTCGGACCTATGATTATATAAGCTTTTACTCCTATTTTAAGATGTAGATTAGCTGTTAAAACATGATCGTCTAATTTCGGGACACCCTTGTAGTATCTAGTCTAAAAAGTATGTGGAAAAAAAGTCAGACAAATAATGTTCAAAATAGAAAAATAATTCCCACTCAAATGTGACCCCAAGGTAAAATAAAAAAATGTTTACATTTGATTTGGACTTAATTTCCTATTTTAATATTTTTTTTTTTTAGGTAATTAATTGATTTATTTATTACAATGCAAATGCAGCAATTTTCATGCACTTAAATGCAACTACGTGAATATTGAGTAGAACTGTAGATTGATGTAAGAAAAAAAAAATTAAACATTAAACTCCTTCTTTCATTAAAAATGTATGTCAAACCCTTTCGATTATATAAAATAGTAGCTAGTTAATCAAAAGAGGGTTTAAATAACATAATTCAGTACACTACAGGTGCTCCTGAATCAATTTGAAAAAATTTATGCTCAAAACAGTCTCAGATGCTGACCCAAAGCAAGTCTGCAAAAAAGAACATCTAGAATCAATCGATGGTATGGCCCCAAAAAAAAAGTTCCAGTCGGAACAAAAATCAACCAAAAAACAAATTTGTAATATTACAATCTGTATTTTGTTTTATATTTACTTCGAACTTTAGCAATGTTCCTCGTAGTAAAAATGGTAATATTAATTGACAAGTAAATAGAATATGAATTATTTATCTTAAGTATAAATGCAAATATTTGGGAATTACCAACACTAGCACAATAATAGTGGGTTAATCCATAAAATGAAGCTATAAAAATTAAATAAAATAAATAAAAATAAACTATGATACTAGAAACATTTTAGTGATAAACCCATCTACGCAAGATTGATAAGTAGACCTAGGAATATATGCACCCAAAAAGTAGTTAAATATGCGCATATATATGCCGCAAAATACTTCAATATATGCGTAAAAAATTGAAAAATATGCAGAGCATATGCAATAAGAGTAATTTGTTATTTGATCGAAATAGTTTATTAATATTTATTATTTGTTTTATTTTATTTTACAATAGCTAATATAATACTTAATAATTATTAACTAATTTTATTTAGCTCTATTGATAAGTTTTAAAATAATCTGTTTTTTTTTGTTTTTTTTTAAGTAATACTGTACAAAATATTTAATTTTATATTATTATTAAATTTTTTACTTTTCTATTATACAATAATAAATCGTTCCAATAATAACCTAACAATTTCATTCAGTAAGCAGTATGTTAATGGTAAACTTTGTAGGACAAAATGATATTAAAAATAAGAAGTGCTCATCTGCAAATTTATTAATTTTTGTAATTATTTTCAAGGTGGGTATAATATATTATTGGAGCAAACTACCCTGTAAAAAAACATTTGAAGATAGCACAACAATTTTAGCACAATCTGTACCAAAGCTCCTCTATTTACATTTAAAACCTGGTCATACATTGCATAGAAACGTAGAAACTTTCTTAATTATGTTTCGGAAATGTTCATTTAAGTGTTTATCCTTTAAGATGAAAGTTGGTAGTTTATCTTACAAAGAAATTTTTATATTGTAAGTTATTTATATTTGTAGGTGCTTTACAAGGACAAACTCATATTACATGCCTCTTTCTTTGATTATTTTCATGAACTACCTTATTATTAATCAAAATGTATACTTACCTTTACATTAAAACTTCTGAATACTCTGTTACAGCTCTGATTCCAGTATCAGAGTATTTTTGACAGCTCTAGTAAGAAACCAGAAGATAATTTATCTATGCCGCACACATTTATGGATGATAATAAGTAAGTTAGTTTACTGCCTAGTTTTACAAGTTAAAAACTATCAATGAATAGGTTTATTTTTGTACAGTTCTACGTGTTTTTGGATTTTACAAAATTCTTATTACCAGATCCGCTATAAGAAGCGTTCCATTTAAAATCCCCACCTTGTATATATGGTAAATTTATTATGTTTTATAAATTTATTAGTCTTAAAAATCTAAATTTTAATTGAAAAATCTCTCATTTACCAATTTGTAAAACTGTTCAAATTTTAACGCCAAAATTGAATTCGTAAATTTGTTTAAAATAAATCTTTATTATGTATCTTGTTTTTATTTTATTTAACATCTTTATATATAATAAATGTATTATTCTTGGAAAAAAAGAGTGTTTTCAAACTTTTTTCCTACATTCCACTGAACTTCATACCCTTATACCAAATCCAATCGGTTTTAAAGTTTAAACCATTATAAAGTTTATTGCACGCCATATCGGTTAGTATTTCATTTTTTTTTTAAGCTATTGCATAGCTTTTATCGCGGGCTTTGAGCGCGAAGACCGAATCAAGAAATTCCGTAACACCGTAACGAAAAAAAACCTAACACCCCCCACTCCGACCGGCACAGCGGTGGGGCGTTAAACAATATTAACTTCATTTATTCATTAAAAGAAAATCGAAAAATTGAAAAATCGAAAAAATTGTAAAATCGAAAAATTGTAAAATCGAAAAATCGAAAAATCAAAAAAATCTATAAATCGAAAAACCGAAAAATCGAAAAAATCTAAATCGAAAAATCAAAAAATCTATAAATCGAAAAAATCTGAAAATAAAAAAAATCGAAAAATTGTAAAATCGAAAAAATCGAAATATCAAAAAATCGAAAAAATCTAAAAATCAAAAAATTGTAAAAATTGTAAAACCGAAAAATTGAAAAATCGAAAAACCAAAAAATCCAAAAATCGAAAAATTGTAAAATCGAAAAATCAAAAAATTGTAAAATCGAAAAATCAAAAAATCAAAAAATTTAAAAATCGAAAAATTGTAAAATCGAAAAAATCTAAAAATCGAAAAATTGTAAAATCTAAAAATCGAAAAAATTGTAAAATCGAAAAATCGAAAAAATCGAAAAATTGTAAAATCGAAAAAATCGAAAAATTGTAAAATCAAAAAATTGAAAAATCAAAAATCGAAAAATAAAACGAAAAACCGAAAAAATCGAAAATTTAAAAATCGAAAAATTGTAAAATTGAAAAAATGAAAAATCGAAAAAACGAAAAATCTAAAAATAAAAAAAATCGAAAAAATCTAAAAATCGAAAAATTGTAAAATTGAAAAATCGAAAAATCAAAAAATTGTAAAATCGAAAAATTGTAAAATCGAAAAATTGTAAAATCGAAAAATCAAAAAATCTATAA